GCCCTCGCATTTGGTCAATTGCCCTTTTGTTTGTGGTTGTTCATACTCCTCATTGTCCATAGTTCCCTCGGCACTGTTCTGCTCGGCTTCAAAAGATATCCCGAGATTCTAGCGCTATATTCAAAAGCCGACCGGCTACGGATAAGGAACGTGTTTCCGATCTGCCTTTTCTCACAACGTCGCAAACATGACTTGTGTCGTTTTTCCTGTGCTGTTCGAGCCATCGTCAAGTCATGCTTACTACTAAACTTGCAGCGCGAAGGTACCCTCTACACCGATGTAGTAGTTTCCATGCGAGGGGTCTGGCTTCGCTTGCACCGCGGGTGTCGATCAGTCCTCTCGATGCAGGCATACCACTCGACTACGACCGACAGGTCTTGCAGCTCAAGTCTGTTAGACATGGCTCGCGGCGCCCCCTTACCCTGACAGAAAAAGTGCTGTATAGTCACCTTTACACTTCAGACGAGCACCACTGGTCTCTAGATGAAATCAGGCGTGGAGAGACGCTACTGCACCTCCGCCCAGACAGAGTCGCATGTCATGATGCGACGGCTACTATGGCATTGCTGCAGTTCATCAGCGCAGGCCTCCCGAAAGTCCAGATCCCCACGACAGTGCACAGCGACCATCTCATTGTATCGCGCGACGGCGCCGAGGAAGACCTTGTCCGTGGAAGAAAAGAGCATCGCGAAGTCTACGCGTTTCTGAGTAGCGCAGCGAAGAAGTACGGAATCGGCTGGTGGAAACCTGGCGCCGGCATCATCCACACCACTATCTTCGAGAATTACGCGTTTCCTGGAGGCTTGATCATCGGGACAGACTCGCATACGCCCAACGCCGGCGGCATGGGAATGCTTGGTATCGGAGTTGGAGGTTCTGATGCAGTCGATGCGATGGCTGGTATGCCCTGGGAGCTCATGTGCCCACAGATCGTAGGTGTCCGACTTACTGGTAGCCTGCATGGATGGGCCTCGACAAAAGACATCATCTGCAAACTTGCGGGTATACTGTCTGTTTCAGGCGGAAAGGGCAAGGTGATTGAGTTCTTTGGCCCGGGTACGCAGACGTTGGGTGCGACGGCCATGGCCACAGTCTGCAACATGTCAGCTGAGATTGGATCGACCTCCTGTATCTTTCCCTACTCCGAGGCCATGAATCGATATCTCTCGGCGACGAAGCGTGCGAATGTCGCGCGCCTCGCAAATGGCTACAAGGATATCCTGCTGACCGCAGATGAGGGCTCCGAGAAGCATTATGATACGGTTATCGAAATTGACCTAGACTCTCTAGAGCCACATGTCAACGGTCCCTTTACTCCGGATCTTTCGCATCCTATTTCAGAACTGAAGGATGCTGTAGCAAAGAACGACTGGCCTGTCGAAGTCAGTCATGCCATGGTAGGCAGCTGCACCAACAGCTCATACGAAGATCTATACAAAACGTCGCAGCTTGTCGAGCAGGCCAAGGCGGCTGGTCTGCCGAAAGTGAAGACACCGTTTCTGGTCTCCCCAGGCAGCGAAGATATACGCGCGACTGCAGAGTCGGAGGGTATACTGCAAACATTGCGCGAGGCAGGTGCTGTTGTGCTGAGCACAACTTGTGGCCCTTGCGTAGGGCAATGGCAGCGTACAGACGTCGATGTCAAAGGCCGCGAGAGAAACACGGTAGTTTCCAGTTTCAACCGCAATTTCGTTGGTCGGCACGACGGCAACCCAGAGACCTGTTCATTTGTGACTTCTCCAGAGATGGTGACGGCTTTTGCCTACTCTGGAAGGTTGGATTTCAATCCTGTCGTCGACTCTCTTCAAATCGAAGGGTCAGCGCAGGGGTTCCAGTTTACAGCACCAAAGAACGTCGAGTTACCCATGCAGTTCGTCGTGGGCGAAGATTTCTACCAAGCTCCAATTCATGACGCCGACGATGTGGCAGTCGAAATTGACCCACAATCTGAGCGTCTGCAACTCCTTGAGCCCTTCAAACCCTGGTCTCCCGGCTCGACGAAAGACATGCCGATTCTCGTCAAAGTCCAAGGAAAGTGCACGACCGATCATATTAGCCCCGCAGGCCCGTGGTACAAATTCCGTGGCCATCTTGAGAATATCAGCAACAACATGCTTCTCGCAGCTTCGAACGCCTTCCTAGGTTCCGACTCCAAGTTGCTCGGCCACACGATCCACCCGCTAACCAGCGAAATCGGACTTGTGCATGAAGTCGCCCGAAACTTGCGCGATCAAGGTGTAAACTGGTGTATCGTCGGTGACTTCAACTACGGAGAAGGCTCATCGCGTGAGCATGCAGCGCTAGAACCGCGTTTCCTTGGTGGCGTCGCGATCATAGCACGCTCTTTTGCTAGAATACACGAAACCAATTTGAAGAAGCAGGGCATGCTGCCTCTGACGTTTGCGAATCCCCAGGACTACGATCGTATTCAGTTGGGCGATCGCATTACGCTACAAGGTGTTGAAGACGGCGAGCTACGGCCGGGAAGGCAGGCTAGCATGCGTGTGGTGCGCGCGAATAATGCAGGAGAGTGGATCGCGCCGCTCAACCATAGTTACAGCAACGGTCAATTGAAGTGGCTGAGAGCGGGGAGTGCGCTGAACCATATCAAACAAACGGTCTTGGGTAGGTAATTGATCGGGTTGGAGGTGTGGTTTGGGGTAGGCCCTCTGGGAGACAATTGCAACCTTGCAACATCAACAAAGCCAAAAGTCTCCACTCGATGTCGACATCAGCGATACTAGCCATTGAGGTATATAACTACCTCGGCGTTTTTGGCTGGACCGCTCGGTCTAAGGAAGTTAGATAATGTAAAGACGCCACGGAACCCCGCGGTCATCGCCTCGAATCTGATTGGCGGAAGTCCCACGCTGATCTACAAACGCAGGCCGACGCGTTCCTGGAGCCCTAGAGCCGTCTCCCGTAAGCCGTGAGCGGGCAGCTAGTTTGAGACAGCTGTTGACTGTACGTGATTTCGACGACTCGTATCGAGCATCAATTGACCTTTCGCAATGGCTCAAAGAGTGCTTCTTCGATCAGGTCGGGGCTTGTCGCTCGCGCCTCGCTCCCTGCAGATCACCCGCTCCTTCAGCACCGTTCTCGATACCCCTGTCGACCCTGGAACTCAACAATTACGCTCACCAGCGCGGACAGGCTCCGTCTTCGAGAATGCACTCAATGCAAGTGCGCCCAGGACGAGCTGGACAAAGGAGGAGATTACTGAAGTCTACAATACTTCGCTGATAGACCTTACACATGCAGCGGTATGTCACACAGCTCTATCATCATTTGGATGGACAATGTCTCATCAATCCCGTTGTAGGCTTCGGTGCACCGGCGCTTTCATGACCCCGCTGCCATCCAGATGTGCACACTGTTCAACATCAAGACTGGAGGCTGCAGCGAGGACTGCTCCTACTGTGCGCAGTCATCGCGTTACGACACAGGACTGAAAGCCACGAAACTATCTTCGGTTGACTCAGTCCTGGAAGCTGCGCGTGTCGCAAAAGAGAATGGAAGCTCAAGATTCTGCATGGGAGCTGCCTGGAGAGACATGCGAGGCCGCAAGACCAATCTCAAGAACATCAAGGAGATGATAAAGGGGGTGCGCGGTATGGGTATGGAGGCATGTGTTACCTTGGGCATGGTCGGTAAGTCTATCCAGAAGAACACTCATGTGAAGCATACACTGACTTTGTAAACCTTCACGTAGATGCTGCGCAAGCAAAAGAGCTCAAAGACGCCGGATTGACAGCATACAACCACAACGTTGATACCAGCCGGGAGCACTACCCCAGTGTCATCACCACACGCACCTACGACGAGCGACTCGCCACCATCAAGAACGTCCAAGAAGCCGGCATACACGTGTGCACCGGCGGTATCCTTGGTTTAGGCGAGAAGGCTCGCGACCACGTCGGTCTCATCCACACCGTCGCAACACTACCAGCCCATCCCGAGAGCTTCCCCGTCAACGCCCTAGTCCCAATCAAAGGCACACCCCTCGGAGAAACACAAGCCATCTCCTTCGACGCCATCCTCCGTACCATCGCTACCGCGCGACTCGTCATGCCGACCACCATCATCCGTCTCGCGGCTGGCCGCCACACAATGCGCGAGGAGAAGCAGATTATGTGTTTCCAAGCGGGCGCTAATGCTGTCTTTACGGGTGAGAAGATGTTGACGACTGCTTGCAACGGTTGGGAAGAGGATAAGGCTATGTTTGGCAGGTGGGGATTGAGGCCTATGAAGATGGAGGAGACGATTGGAGAGCAGCGTAAGCTTCCCGGGCAGGATGAGGCTGAAGCGGTTGTTGCGGCTGCGGAGGCGGAGGCTACGGTTCAGGCACTTGCTTGAGGGTAGGGGTGTTTTGTATAAAGTCACTCTCACAATACGATGGAGAAATAAAGAAGTTCATGAGTTCACGATTATAACTCTGGATTGCGTTGTCCTCTCGATTCAGAGCTAGAGTTTCGCTCGCACGACCGCTTCTCGTACATGATTTCGTGACTGATCATCTGCCTGACTCTCGCACCATTTCCCAAGCAATTCTACGAGTCTATCCACCTCCGCTGATGTGTTGCCAGCATGTAAGCAGATCCTGACTCTAGCAGTACCTACCGGCACTGTTGGCGGCACAACCGCTCGGACCATCATTCCATGAGTCTGCAAAAAGCTCGCGAGGGCTTTCGGTCTTGCCAACTGTACTGCGAATATAGGTGATCTCGGGCATGCACTTGGAATTGTGAGTGCCTGACCAGCCGATTTCGAGTGTCTTTGGAGATAAATAAGACTGGTATAGAGATGTTGGGTAAGATTTTGTAGATGGGCTTGTAGTTTCACGCTCTGGCCAGACTGGAGTAACCGGTACGAAGAGCGTATGAGCGCTAGCGAGGGGTAGGACAGGAATGTTGTATATATGAGCGGACGTGCGTAGTTGATGAGGTAATGACGCAGGGTGTCTGAGCCGAGAATGATTGCTGTGAAGTGCTTAGCATCTTTCACAAACTTGCAACTGATAATCTGAAACTTACCTCCATTCGCAGCTACCGCTTTTCCAAACGTGTGTAGCCGTGCGAACACGCGTTTCTCGAGGCCTAGCTCACATACCAGACCCCTCCCCTCTGGTCCTAACACACCAGTAGAATGTGCCTCGTCGATAACGATGTATCCTCGTTCAGGGCCCAAGACTTCTTCTACGACCTCCACCATCTCTTTCAAAGGGCATACGTCTCCGTCCATACTATAGATGGATTCCAATGCCACAAACACATTACAGCTCTTGTCTCGCACATTCTCATTCTCACCAAGAACTGCTATCAAAACATTCTTTAGGGCAGATGTGGAGTTGTGTTCAAAAGCAATCGTCTTCCCCGCTCGTGATAACCTCATGCCATCATGAACGCTTGCATGTACGAGCTCATCATAGACTATCACATCTCCCGGCTGCGGTACACTCGCAAAGAAGCCCGCGTTTGCATCAAAACCACTGTTGAACAGTAGTCCAGATGCAGCTCCGTGGAAGTTGGCAATCTCTTGCTCCAGGTGTTCGGCGTACGTCGAGTTGCCATCTAGGAGTCTTGACCCGCCGCTACCCAATGGCAAATCAATGCTTCGCAGCTCTTGAAGGTACTCCGATTTGAGTTGTGGCGAAGTGGATAGTGACAGGAAATCGTTGGACGAGAAGTCGGTCTGATTTTGGAGTGGTAATGTCAGATTACGGAGTGTTGCGTTTGTCCGTCGGCGGTCGAGTAGTTCTTGTAACTTGTTTTGCAACGGCGTCGAATGCGTTTTGCTCCCCATGTCTTTCTGTGAAGGTGATAATAGGTAGGAACGCCTTTGACCCACGATAACGTGACCTTCAGTGATGGTGTGGAGCTGACCAAATGGCTGGCGTGGTAGGATCAGCGGAAAGCGGAAAGGAAGCGTGGGGTCTGCCGCGGCTATCCGCGTCGTCGAAAGCTGTCAAAAGTAAAAACATACTCATTAGCTAAAAGACCGCATAAGCTGACCCCTCGATGCCGTCGGAGATGCGGCTTGACTCATTACATTTGTACCTGCATGTTTAGCGTCGGTGTGGACGCGGAACCACTAGCGCACTCTCCGCATTGGACAGCATGCAGGTGCAGCCATCTACCATAGCACCTTCATCAACTCACCACTAACTGGAAGTATAAAAAAGAAATGGCGAAGGTGCCAGGAGGGTTGTGGAAGAACGCGATTGCTGTTCAGGTCTATGGTGCCAACACGGGAGTTGGCAAAACAGTTTTCTCGACGCTCCTGGGTGCCCATTTCGGTAGGGCAAGCCTCAAGAGCAGGGCATCGCCGTTACGCCACGGGCCGTACAAAGTACAATATGTAAAGCCTGTATCTACAGGTCCAGCTGATGAAGCCGACGATAGGTCAGTGTGGTGATGCGTGATCCGACAGATGTTTGGGACACAAGGGCTGACTGTACGCTAGCTATGTGCACAAGTACACTGGCCAGCGTGTTTCCACTCTTTTCAAATTCGACAAAGCTGTGAGCCCGCATGTTGCGGCAAGAGGTTCGAAACACATTGTGAGTTCTATCTTTATTATTGTGCTTTTGCCAATAGTGATTGACTAGCAAAGCCCAGCGATGAGCTCATCGGCCAAACGGTGTTCAAGACGGTCCAGAAAGCAGCCGGCACATTAGATCAGGGCCGGTTATTCTCGATCATTGAGACAGCTGGTGGAGTCCTCAGTCCTGGACCTTCTGGCACGCCACAGGCGGATATATTTCGACCACTACGACTTCCTGCGGTGCTCGTCGGCGACCATCGGTTAGGTGGCATCGCCTCTACCATATCAGCTGCAGAATCCCTGATCATGCGAGGATATGATATCGATGCTGTTGTGTGTTTCGACGATAAGAGCCAGTATGAGAACGCAGATTACTTAAAGAAGTATTTCATGGATATGGGTATACCAGCTTACAAACTACAATGGATTCCGAACCTCCAGGGCGTTGCACCAGGTACGAAAGAAGAAACGGAAATTATGCAAGATTACTACAGTACAGAAAGCGACAGCACATCGGTAGGAACGATCGCTGAGGAGCTGATCCATCGCCACGACCAGCGACTCAGTCGCCTGGGATCGATGCCATATGAAACAGAGGACAGGATTTGGCATCCTTTCACACAACACAAGCATGTAAAGAACGCGAACGACATACTAGTCATCGATTCGGCATATGGCGACTTCTTCCAGGTCAAGCACAAGGGCAATGAAGAGGTGCCTCATCCTGAGAACCAGACCTTGTACCCAGCATTTGACGGCTCCGCATCATGGTGGACCCAAGGACTTGGGCACGGCAATCCGCGATTAGCACTGGAAGCAGCATATGCAGCAGGACGTTATGGTCACGTCATGTTCGCCGGCGCCACACACGAACCAGCTCTCACTCTAGCGGAAAAGATACTTTCGGGCTCGCCACGAGGGACTCGTTTGAGGAAAGTTTTTTACACAGACAATGGTAGTACAGCAACAGAAGTTGGTATCAAGATGGCGCTGCGGGCTTCCAGCAAGCGCTATGATTGGGATAGCGCAGAAGAGTCCGTTGGTGTCCTTGGACTCAAAGGCAGCTACCATGGAGACACGATCGGGGCTATGGATGCCTCTGAACCTTGTGTCTTCAACGAGAAAGTCGACTGGTATCGCGGTCGCGGATTCTGGTTTGACTACCCGACCTTCAAGCTCAAGAATGGCCAATGGGTGGTTGAACCGCCCAATGGCATGGAAGAAGAATTGGGCCCAGCTCAGAACTTTGAGAGTCAAGACAGCATATTCGATTTCGCTACCAGAGGTAGATCGGCGCAGTACGAGGCCTACATACAGAAAACACTAGACGAGCTGGTCAAGAAGCAAGGCAAGAAGTTCGGTGCCTTGGTACTAGAGCCTGTCGTCCTCGGAGCCGGAGGTATGCTATTCGTGGACCCGCTTTTCCAGCAGAGCTTAGTGCGCGTCGTCCGTCATTACGACTTTGCAAACGGCTCCAGGATTACGGAATCTCCGAAGGACGAGAACGCTTGGTCTGGTCTTCCCGTCATGTTTGACGAGGTGTTCACTGGTTTGTACCGTCTGGGTCGCTTCTCTGCCGCCTCATTCCTTGACATCCATCCGGACATCAGTGTAAATGCGAAGCTACTTACGGGAGGTCTACTTCCGCTTTCGATTACCAGCGCAAGTCAATCTATTTTCGAGGCTTTCTTGGGCGACGAGAAATCGGAAGCTCTCCTGCATGGACATAGCTATACCGCTCATGCAGTCGGGTGCCATGTTGCAAACACAAGTCTAGACATCATGGAGAAATTGAACTTGGGCCATGAGCGGAACCTGGTCGAGAACAAAGCCAAGATGGCAAGCAGTGGCAGTAGCAATCGTGTGTGGAGCATATGGTCCGATTCCTTCGTGGGCAACATCTCAAATCATGAGAGGGTTGAGTATGTGAACGCGCTGGGTTCAGTGCTGGCCGTATCGCTCATTGACGAAGGCGGCTCCGGTATGTCGATCTTTTCTCCTCCAAGCTTCTTAATTAATGTGACCTAGGCTACACTTCTTCTGCAGCGGTCGGCCTTCGCGATGCTTTACTCCACGATGTTTCTGAATCACAGGTACAGATTCATTCGCGCATACTGGGTAATGTCATCTACCTTATGGCGAGCATGACTGCGACGCGCTCTCAGCTAGCCCCTATCGAAGCGGCATTCATGGAAAAGTTGGGAAGTGTTACAAAAGCTTGAAGAGGTGTCGGGGCTTTGATGTACCTCGTGCCACTCCTATTCACAGCCCGCATGTAGACATTTAACGCGAAGCTTTGTGTCACTACTCTCAAGGTGCACAGGAGTCGCGCGTCTAACTAAAACAAATAACGAAGCGTTTGCGAAGTTGGAAAGTCGTCACGTATCCTGAGCGGCATAATTACCAGCATCCCGTCACCTCATATGCGCTGGACAATTTCGCCAATCACAACAACCGCAAACTTGCTCAGTCATACGAGTAGCGTGTGTCAACCCTCCCTTTAACCGGGCAACAACAACGTCGGTGCGCCTCGGGAGTCAGCCACGAGTTGCATCTCTTATTCCCGCTGCCGGAAACACGTTCATAGGTGATGAGTTTGCTGTGGCATACCGCAATATGAGCAAGTATCTGCGATTGAGCACCCGGAAGTGCACTATCCTGACCTCTCATAGGCCCCACTGCCGCGTTCTGACTTCTATACAACATATAAACATGTGGGTCACAAGCATAGCAGGTGAAGAAAGCAGTTGGGTTGACATTGTATCCTTGGAGTAATAAACACTGCTACTCTTGACCGGCTGTCGGACTGGCGCCCTTGAGACTGGAACAAGCTACCACCTTACGAACGAACAACGCAAAATTCGGACCATGATGTCAATGGATTCCATGCACAGTGATAGTACGCCATGGCTCACGCAACCCGTTATGCTGCATTCTTCTCGAAAGTACACCTGCAGTCTCAAAAGCGACACGCTCTGTAAGTGGCAACAAGGGTACTGGAGATTTTGGTACGAAGCCGACCACAGGTATGCTCTTCCAACACTCGCATTCTTCATGGCAACCATCATTCTCTTCGCCATCCCTTTTCTCACCTCGAAGCTCTTACGAAAACCTCCCCCAAAGATTAAGGCTGTGCGACAACTGCTTGCCATCTTTCGTTACCTCGCCTACCGTTCCTATCGCATCCGGCCATTGAACTGGAACTCCGCACCACTCGGCATTCTCATACTTGGGGCGATAGGCACAGTCTTCTTCGTCTGTATGACACTCGGTCCGCGACCGTACTATTGGCCCAACCAGAAGAGCCCTCCGATCTCATTCGGAGGCTCACCACCGATCGCCACACGAACAGGATGGATGTCGCTCGCTTGTCTACCCTTTATCATGGCGACGTCGACGAAAAGTAATATGATTACAATGTTGACGGGAGTATCGCATGAGAAGCTGCAGTTGTTCCATCGATGGATCAGCTATGCATGCTTTGTGCTTGCTTTGATACATACATTCCCCTTCATTGTGTTCAATGTATGGAAAGGCACTATGGAGAGCGAGTGGCATACGGACGTATGCTATTGGACCGGTGTCGTCGCTCTCATTGCGCAGGTTCGTGATCAAATCCGTCTCCCTCCCGTGTGGAATTTAGACTATGCCCAGAGGAAAGCTGATGAGCGTCCAGGCCTGGCTGACATTCGCTTCCAACTCCTCCCTTCGGAATGTCAGCTATGAGTTCTTCAAAGCAACTCATTTCATCGCCGCCCTGGTGTTCGTCTTGTTTTTCTTTCTCCACTGCGACTTTCGGCTCTCGTCCTGGGATTATTTTATCGCAACAGGCGTCATCTATACACTATGTTGGCTTCATAGCCACATGCGCATGTTCTTTCAGTACGGAATCAAAACGGCTGCGGTCAGCAAAGTCTCGAACGACTTTGTCAAGATTGCGATTCCGATGAACGGTGGCTGGAAAGCAGGTCAACATTACTTCATCAGAGTCTTTGGCCTTGGTGTTCACGGGATGACAACACACCCTTTTACGGCATGCTCTCTTCCCGGGGCGACTCGCTCTTGTACGAACGAACTTGTTTTCTATATTCGACCGCAGGGAGGTTTTACAGCACGCTTGGCGAGGCACGCTCAGCAACATCCTAAGTCAAGCCTAAAGGTGTTACTCGATGGCCCTTATAGTGGCATAGACATGAGGAGAGTTGCGGCAAGCCAAAGCGTTGTGGCTATTGCCGGCGGATCTGGTTCTGGCTGGCTTT